TGTGTTTTCGCCTCCTGGGGCGGAGACGTCTGTTGTATCGCCTCCTGGGGCGGAGACGTCTGTGTTATCGCCTCCTGGGGCGGAGACGTCTGTGTTATCGCCTCCTGGGGCGGAGACGTCTGTGTTATCGCCTCCTGGGGCAGAGACAGTGCTGGAGAGAAGTCTTTTCTGGGATTGGAGGAGATAGAATGTACACCATTGGAGGGCCAAATGTTTGTTGACCTCTGACCACATCTATATGAACTTGTTGGACATTACATTCTAGTAATGGTCCACCATGGCCGTTAACCTGGACCTGGTCCCCCATGGCCACCAGCCTGGACCTGGTCCCCCATGGCCACCAGCCTGGACCTGGTCCCCCATGGCCATTGACGTGGTGTTGGCCTCCTTTGTCACTATACCATCCTCCACTCTTCTGGAAGGTCTTTCCACAAGATTTTGGAGAGTGTCTGCATGTGGGGGTTTGTCCCATTTGTGAGGTCAGGTACTGGTGTTGGATCAGAAGACCGGGCTCAGAGTCCAATTCATCCAAAAGGTGTTCAGTAGGGTTCAGGTCAGGGCTCTGTGTAGGACACTCGAGTTCCTCCACCAAGCTGGTCACACCATGTCTATATGGAGCTGGCTATGTACACAGGGGACAGTCATGGTGGAACAGAAAAGGGTCTTCACCAAACTGTGACCCCAAGGCTGGAAGAGCGCAATTGTCTACAATGTCTTTGTATGATGGAGGAGGAACAGAACCCTGTACTGGAACTCCATTATTGCAGGGGGAGGGGTCACATAGTTCTGGCTGTATAGTGGGTGTGACGGTCCCCAAGCTTTTGCCTTGTTGCCTAAAATCTAAGTTGTGGGTGGAGTTGTCCTTTTTCCTAGTTGAAGCCGCGATTTCACAGTACGGGGGGGGTGGATGGGCTAATATCCAATATAGGAGCCCGCGTGCAGTATTCAGGTCACTTGACGCACCCGTCCTACGTGCTGAGGACAAGCTGCGTTTGCATTGTTTTTATACTTTTTGTTTTTTCCCCAAAATAGGAAGTTTACCACGAGAAACACATCCAGACTTTCTGGGAGAACCACAAAGACGAATTCCTGAACGTGAAGATCGTGGGTCCGGAGGAGGAGCTGAGCCAGGGCGAGGCGCGAGATATGGGCATGTATGTGTTTGGAATATAGAATGGAGGAAGAGTTCTCCGTCAGATCTAGGCTGAGATGTGATCAGTCTGCTGCAGGCAGGAGGAAGCATTCCCTCAATCTCCCCTCCCCCCAGTGATCAGTCTGCTGCAGGCAGGAGGAAGCATTCCCTCAGTCTCCCCTCCCCCCAGTGATCAGTCTGCTGCAGGCAGGAGGAAGCATTCCCTCAATCTCCTCTCCCCCCAGTGATCAGTCTGCTGCAGGCAGGAGGAAGCATTCCCTCAATCTCCCCTCCCCCCAGTGATCAGTCTGCTGCAGGCAGGAGGAAGCATTCCCTCAATCTCCCCTCCCCCCAGTGATCAGTCTGCTGCAGGCAGGAGGAAGCATTCCCTCAGTCTCCCCTCCCCCCAGTGATCAGTCTGCTGCAGGCAGGAGGAAGCATTTTCTCAGTCTCCCCTCCCCCAGTGATCAGTCTGCTGCAGGCAGGAGGAAGCATTTCCTCAGTCTCTCCTCCCCCCAGTGATCAGTCTGCTGCAGGCAGCCCAGGGATGTGTTGAAAGGTACTCTAGGCAATGATCTCTGAATTCCAATAGGCTGTATGAAATAATTGTATTCTCCCTTCACAGGGACCTCTGCCGCCAGGACGTGACCTGTGACTACTACTTCAGTGTGGACGCAGATGTGGTTCTGACCAATCCCGACACTCTGTACATGCTGATCCAGGAGAACCGGTCAGTATTGGGGCACATAATGATCTATTGTGGCTGGAATGACCCCGCACCTCCCTCCGCCTACAATCCTGTACTCACCCCCCGCACCTCCCTCCGCCTACAATCCTGTACTCACCCCCGCACCTCCCTCCGCCTACAATCCTGTACTCACCCCCGCACACCCCTCCGCCTACAATACTGTACTCACCCTCTTATTCCTCTCCTCCTGCAGCAAGGTGATTGCGCCAATGGTGTCTCGGAGCGGAAAACTGTGGTCCAACTTCTGGGGGGCTCTGAGTCCCGAGGGGTACTACGCCCGGTCCGAGGACTACGTAGACATCGTTCAGGGGAAAAGAATGTGAGTATTTAAAGCCGTGTGCAAGAGTCGGGGTGTCACCCTGCATGAGACCCGAAGAACTTCATCTGTCTTTTCTCCGTGTCTTCCAGCGGCGTGTGGAACGTCCCCTATATCGCCCACACCTATCTCATCAAGGGGGAGACTCTGCGTAAAGAGCTGGCGCAGAGAAGTGTCTTCACTTTGGCAGGATTGGACCCCGATATGTCTTTCTGTAAGAGTGTCAGGGATAAGGTAAGCGGCACGTGAAAGCCTAACTCTTGCCTTACCTATTCTTCCCCACATGTGTAGTATCAATCATCTCTGCTCTTCATCGTGTATAGGTGTGTTCTTTAGGGCACACCCCTCCACCTACACTCCTGTACCCCACACACCCCTCCACCTACAATCCTGTACCCCGCACCCCCCTCCTCCTACAATCCTGTACCCCGCACACCCCTCCGCCTACAATCCTGTACTCCCCACACCCCTCCTCCTACAATCCTGTACCCCGCACACCCCTCCGCCTACAATCCTGTACTCCCCACACCCCTCCTCCTACAATCCTGTACCCCGCACACCCCTCCGCCTACAATCCTGTACTCCCCACACCCCTCCTCCTACAATCCTGTACCCCGCACACCCCTCCGCCTACAATCCTGTACTCCCCACACCCCTCCTCCTACAATCCTGTACCCCGCACACCCCTCCGCCTACAATCCTGTACTCCCCACACCCCTCCTCCTACAATCCTGTACCCCGCACACCCCTCCGCCTACAATCCTGTACTCCCCACACCCCTCCTCCTACAATCCTGTACCCCGCACACCCCTCCGCCTACAATCCTGTACTCCCCACACCCCTCCTCCTACAATCCTGTACCCCGCACACCCCTCCGCCTACAATCCTGTACTCCCCACACCCCTCCTCCTACAATCCTGTACCCCGCACACCCCTCCGCCTACAATCCTGTACTCCCCACACCCCTCCTCCTACAATCCTGTACCCCGCACACCCCTCCGCCTACAATCCTGTACTCCCCACACCCCTCCTCCTACAATCCTGTACCCCGCACACCCCTCCGCCTACAATCCTGTACTCCCCACACCCCTCCTCCTACAATCCTGTACCCCGCACACCCCTCCGCCTACAATCCTGTACTCCCCACACCCCTCCTCCTACAATCCTGTACCCCGCACACCCCTCCGCCTACAATCCTGTACTCCCCACACCCCTCCTCCTACAATCCTGTACCCCGCACACCCCTCCGCCTACAATCCTGTACTCCCCACACCCCTCCTCCTACAATCCTGTACCCCGCACACCCCTCCGCCTACAATCCTGTACTCCCCACACCCCTCCTCCTACAATCCTGTACCCCGCACACCCCTCCGCCTACAATCCTGTACTCCCCACACCCCTCCTCCTACAATCCTGTACCCCGCACACCCCTCCGCCTACAATCCTGTACTCCCCACACCCCTCCTCCTACAATCCTGTACCCCGCACACCCCTCCGCCTACAATCCTGTACTCCCCACACCCCTCCTCCTACAATCCTGTACCCCGCACACCCCTCCGCCTACAATCCTGTACTCCCCACACCCCTCCTCCTACAATCCTGTACCCCGCACACCCCTCCGCCTACAATCCTGTACTCCCCACACCCCTCCTCCTACAATCCTGTACCCCGCACACCCCTCCGCCTACAATCCTGTACTCCCCACACCCCTCCTCCTACAATCCTGTACCCCGCACACCCCTCCGCCTACAATCCTGTACTCCCCACACCCCTCCTCCTACAATCCTGTACCCCGCACACCCCTCCGCCTACAATCCTGTACTCCCCACACCCCTCCTCCTACAATCCTGTACCCCGCACACCCCTCCGCCTACAATCCTGTACTCCCCACACCCCTCCTCCTACAATCCTGTACCCCGCACACCCCTCCGCCTACAATCCTGTACTCCCCACACCCCTCCTCCTACAATCCTGTACCCCGCACACCCCTCCACCTACAATCCTGTACCCCGCACACCCCTCCACCTACCATCCTGTACCCCGCACACCCCTCCACTTACAATCCTGGCTGGCGTCAGTCACTGCACTGCGCCTCTCGACCATTATATTGAAGGAACACAATCCCCAGCATAGATTTAAATGTTTAACCCTGCCGGCCACTGGGTGCTGCGGACCTAAGCTGTGCACTTGTTTGCTCGATTCCTCTGAGTGTATTCAAGCAACTGGTCAGATTTTTTTTTTTGGGGAAGGACGAAAATGGGGGGTGAGCAATTTTTTGGATAGAGTGCTTTAGAATCTCTAGACATAAAGAGGTGGAAATTCTCCCCATTGGGGACAGCACTAAACAAAAGGGGGGAGTTTGAACTAAATAGGGTTCCACTTTATTATTTGACTGTCTTCTGTGTGTGACCGGCCCGCTGTGTCTTTCCCCCCACAGAGCGTCTTTCTTCATATTAGCAATAGGGATGAATTTGGGCGTTTGCTGTCCACCTCGAAGTATAACACGTCCCACCTGCACAACGACTTGTGGCAGATCTTCGAGAACCCCGTGGTAAGTCTGCCCGTCCTCCATCTTGACGTGTGTGCGTCAGCCGGGGCCCCCCAGATTTAATGATATGTGTCCTTTGCAGGACTGGCGGGAGAAGTACATCCATGAGAATTACTCCAAGATCTTTGAAGAGGATTACTTTGAGCAGGTAAGGTTTCTCCAGGCCCCCGCCGCTTGACTTTATTTACACCGGCAGCCATGCCATAACACTTCCTGATCTCTGTCGGCAGCCGTGCCCGGACGTGTACTGGTTCCCCGTCTTTACAGAGGTGATGTGTGATGAGTTCGTGGAGCAGATGGAGCACTTTAACCAATGGTCGGGCGGAAAGAACGAGGTAACTATCTTTTGTATGTCCGACATTGGTCCCCTTCATCTTCCCCCTCTGTTTTCAATCATTGAACTGACCCCTCCCCTCTTATTTGTGTCTCTTCTAGGATAAGAGGCTGACCGGGGGCTACGAGAATGTGCCCACGGTGGACATCCATATGACTCAGGTGGGGTACCAGGACGAGTGGCTGAAGTTCCTGCAGGACTACATCGCCCCCGTCACAGAGAAACTCTTCCCCGGATATTACACCAAGGTGACCAAAACGTACTGCGTCTGTGATTGGACAGAGTTCAGGAGCCAGGCAGTCCAATCTAGAAGCCGGTTGGGCATTAAATTATTTTGCAGGGGTGCTCAGGGTGGGCAGGGATGTTGCACAGAGCATGCAGCACGTAGGGCAGTGGTACAGAGTCTGCAGAGATGCCATATAGCAAAGCAGGGGGTGAAGAGATCATGAGAGCGGGGGCTGTGAAATTGCAAGACAGGGGCGCGGAGTGGATAGATCAGGGGGGAGAAGGTCCCAAGAGCAAGGGGCAGGGGGAGAAGGTCCCAAGAGCAAGGGGCAGGGGGAGAAGGTCCCAAGAGCAAGGGGCAGGGGGAGAAGGTCCCAAGAGCAAGGGGCAGGGGGAGAAGGTCCCAAGAGCAAGGGGCAGGGGGAGAAGGTCCCAAGAGCAAGGGGCAGGGGGAGAAGGTCCCAAGAGCAAGGGGCAGGGGGAGAAGGTCCCAAGAGCAAGGGGCAGGGGGAGAAGGTCCCAAGAGCAAGGGGCAGGGGGAGAAGGTCCCAAGAGCAAGGGGCAGGGGGAGAAGGTCCCAAGAGCAAGGGGCAGGGGGAGAAGGTCCCAAGAGCAAGGGGCAGGGGGAGAAGGTCCCAAGAGCAAGGGGCAGGGGGAGAAGGTCCCAAGAGCAAGGGGCAGGGGGAGAAGGTCCCAAGAGCAAGGGGCAGGGGGAGAAGGTCCCAAGAGCAAGGGGCAGGGGGAGAAGGTCCCAAGAGCAAGGGGCAGGGGGAGAAGGTCCCAAGAGCAAGGGGCAGGGGGAGAAGGTCCCAAGAGCAAGGGGCAGGGGGAGAAGGTCCCAAGAGCAAGGGGCAGGGGGAGAAGGTCCCAAGAGCAAGGGGCAGGGGGAGAAGGTCCCAAGAGCAAGGGGCAGGGGGAGAAGGTCCCAAGAGCAAGGGGCAGGGGGAGAAGGTCCCAAGAGCAAGGGGCAGGGGGAGAAGGTCCCAAGAGCAAGGGGCAGGGGGAGAAGGTCCCAAGAGCAAGGGGCAGGGGGAGAAGGTCCCAAGAGCAAGGGGCAGGGGGAGAAGGTCCCAAGAGCAAGGGGCAGGGGGAGAAGGTCCCAAGAGCAAGGGGCAGGGGGAGAAGGTCCCAAGAGCAAGGGGCAGGGGGAGAAGGTCCCAAGAGCAAGGGGCAGGGGGAGAAGGTCCCAAGAGCAAGGGGCAGGGGGAGAAGGTCCCAAGAGCAAGGGGCAGGGGGAGAAGGTCCCAAGAGCAAGGGGCAGGGGGAGAAGGTCCCAAGAGCAAGGGGCAGGGGGAGAAGGTCCCAAGAGCAAGGGGCAGGGGGAGAAGGTCCCAAGAGCAAGGGGCAGGGGGAGAAGGTCCCAAGAGCAAGGGGCAGGGGGAGAAGGTCCCAAGAGCAAGGGGCAGGGGGAGAAGGTCCCAAGAGCAAGGGGCAGGGGGAGAAGGTCCCAAGAGCAAGGGGCAGGGGGAGAAGGTCCCAAGAGCAAGGGGCAGGGGGAGAAGGTCCCAAGAGCAAGGGGCAGGGGGAGAAGGTCCCAAGAGCAAGGGGCAGGGGGAGAAGGTCCCAAGAGCAAGGGGCAGGGGGAGAAGGTCCCAAGAGCAAGGGGCAGGGGGAGAAGGTCCCAAGAGCAAGGGGCAGGGGGAGAAGGTCCCAAGAGCAAGGGGCAGGGGGAGAAGGTCCCAAGAGCAAGGGGCAGGGGGAGAAGGTCCCAAGAGCAAGGGGCAGGGGGAGAAGGTCCCAAGAGCAAGGGGCAGGGGGAGAAGGTCCCAAGAGCAAGGGGCAGGGGGAGAAGGTCCCAAGAGCAAGGGGCAGGGGGAGAAGGTCCCAAGAGCAAGGGGCAGGGGGAGAAGGTCCCAAGAGCAAGGGGCAGGGGGAGAAGGTCCCAAGAGCAAGGGGCAGGGGGAGAAGGTCCCAAGAGCAAGGGGCAGGGGGAGAAGGTCCCAAGAGCAAGGGGCAGGGGGAGAAGGTCCCAAGAGCAAGGGGCAGGGGGAGAAGGTCCCAAGAGCAAGGGGCAGGGGGAGAAGGTCCCAAGAGCAAGGGGCAGGGGGAGAAGGTCCCAAGAGCAAGGGGCAGGGGGAGAAGGTCCCAAGAGCAAGGGGCAGGGGGAGAAGGTCCCAAGAGCAAGGGGCAGGGGGAGAAGGTCCCAAGAGCAAGGGGCAGGGGGAGAAGGTCCCAAGAGCAAGGGGCAGGGGGAGAAGGTCCCAAGAGCAAGGGGCAGGGGGAGAAGGTCCCAAGAGCAAGGGGCAGGGGGAGAAGGTCCCAAGAGCAAGGGGCAGGGGGAGAAGGTCCCAAGAGCAGGGTGGGGGAGAAGGTCCCGAGAGCAAGGTGGGTTGCCCTGGATAGACAAAGCACGACTTTACACCTGGACCTGGCTTGAGGATTTGTCCTGCCGCCACTCAGGATAATCCCTACACCGGTAACTTACTATATATATGTGTCGGTTTTAATGCTCCTTTTTATCTTTTTAGGCGAAAGCTTTTCTGAATTTCATCGTGCGCTATCGACCAGATGAGCAACCTTCGCTCCGCCCCCATCACGACTCTTCCACATTTACCATCAACGTCGCTCTGAACCGGAAGGGCATTGACTATGAGGTAAGGGGACCCCGGGCATTCTCACTCCCTTTCTTCTGTATCCTCGCTGCCTTTTTGACCTCTGATGAGGGTCCAGCACACCCCCTGCTGAGTCAGACCTACAGCTCTGCAATGTCTGCTGTTTGGGAAACTCGGCATGGGGGGCATGTCAGACCTCGGCCTAAACTTTCCACCTCAAAGAATAAATCTGTACTCGTGGTGGGCTAGTGTACGGTACTGGCGGGATCTGTGTGCAGGCAGAGCCTCTGATTGGCTGACTCTGTTCTGGCCTCGGAGGACAGCAGGGGAGGAGAAAGTAGTCCTACCCTGCTGGGAGTTTAGATTTTCTTTGAGGTGCCTGTATGTAAATGGTGTCACCCAGTGGAGGATGTTTTAGACCTGAAGACCCTCCAATGGGGCACCGTCCTTTTTTACTCTCGCTTATCCACGCATGATGGCCACGTTGTGCTTGTAGATTCATTGGGCCATTTTTTTTTGTTTGGCATGATTGAGAAGTTTAGTGTGGGTATTGGACAGATTGCCCTGGTTGGCCAGTGTGACCTGGTCTGTTAAAAAAAATCGGGCTGATAGGCCTGTTCTTACCAAGATCCTCAATGTTGACTTCATTATACCCTTATTTACCCCCTCACAGGGCGGTGGCTGCCGGTTTATACGCTACAACTGCCTCGTGGAATCTCCCAGGAAAGGATGGTCCTTTATCCACCCCGGCCGACTAACCCATTACCACGAGGGTCTTCCCACCACCAAAGGGACCCGCTACATTATGGTGTCGTTCGTAGACCCTTGACCCCGAAGACTTTTCCTCCCCCCCAAAAAAAACCCAGCAAGACAGAGACTCTAATCCTGACATGGTGGCTAGATTGCGCTATCATAGTCGGGTGTACCCGTTACTCTCCGATGGCTAGCCATGACTGTGGGTGAACTATATGGCGGTGAAACCTAACTATACTCCATAGCTGTGCATCCAATCCGACAACCATGACTGCCCCACCAGTCCAACAACCATGACTGTGGGTGAACTATATGGCGGTGAAACCTAACTATACTCCATAGCTGTGCATCCAATCCGACAACCATGACTGCCCCACCAGTCCAACAACCATGACTGTGGGTGAACTATATGGCGGTGAAAGGTCACTATACTCCATAGCTGTGCCACCAATCCGACAACCTTGACTGCGCCACCAGTCCAACAACCATGACTGTGGGTGGACAATATGGTGGTGAAACCTCACCATAGTCCATAGCTGTGCATCCAATCCGACAACCATGACTGCACCACCAGTCCAACAACCATGACTGTCGGTGGACAATATGGCAGTGAAAGGTCATTGTACTCCATAGCTGTGCCACCAACACCACAACCAAGACCTTGGGTGAACAATATGGTGGTGAAAAGTCATTATACTCAATAGCTGTGCATCCAATCCGACAACCATGACTGTGCCACCAGTCCAACAACCATGACTGTGGGTGGACAATATGGCAGTGAAAGGTCATTGTCCTCCAACTCCATAGCTGTGCCACCAATCCAACAACCAAGACCTTGGGTGAACAATATGGCGGTGAAAGGTCACTATACTCCATAGCTGTGCCACCAATCTGGAACCATGACTGTGCCACCAGCCCAACAACCAAGATGTTGGGTGAACAATATGGTGGTGAAACCTCAGTGTGCTGCATAGCTGTGCATCCAATCCAACAACCTTGACTGCCCCACCAGTCCAACAACCATGACTGTGGGTGGCCAATAAGGCGGTGAAAGGTCATTGTACTCCATAGCTGTGCCACCAATCCAACAACCAAGACCTTGGGTGAACAATATGGCTGTGAAAGGTCACTATACTCCATAGCTGTGCCACCAATCTGAAACCAAGACTGTGCCACCAGGCCAACAACCAAGACCTTTGGTGAACAATATGGTGGTGAGAAGTCACTGTGCTCCATACCTGTGCCACCAATCTCCTCTTTCACCGTGCTTCATAAAACACAAGTCACCGACCTATGCCGAGTTCTTCTAGCAATCTGGAGCCAATGAGCAAACCCGTACAACGTGCCTTACAGTCCGCCATGTTCAGCTGCCGATCTCTTCCATGACATGGTAACCTCACAATTGCCTCGCAAAGCATTCAAATGAAGACCCACCAATCCTAGTCCTGTGTCTGGCCTGGTCTGTGGGTATGGGCGCCGGCCCCATGAAGCTCATCCCCACGGCCTACGTGAACAAAGTCCCGGTGCACCCCGATGACCTGAGCTGAAATAAACTTTATTGTTCCGGTAAGGGATACAGAAGGTCCCAGGTCCTTCTCATACTGACACATTTCACCTAAACGGCGCTCAGCCATAGAGAGGACCCTGTTTGGGTGAAATGCGTCGGTATGAGGAGGACCTGGGTGGACCTTCTGTATCCTTTTATCCGGAACAATAAAGTTTATTGCAGCTGATGTCATCAGAGTGCGCCCGGACTCCGTTTTGGTCCCGCTTACCTCGAGCTGCCTTAATTTTACCAAAGTCACGGGGGGGGGGGATGTTTTGTGTTCTATTTTTGCACAGAGATTTAGATTGTTTGCACATTTGTCGGGGAGAAGGGAAATAAAAACAATATTTTTGTAGAAAGCGTTTAGCTGGGAAGGAATTAGCGGTGTCGCAGTGGGCGGACCTTAACTCATATCATGGGGAGGAGGAGGAGTCCCCCCTGCCTGCATCTTGTTTTTTGCGGTTTGCTGGCTTTGTACAAAATGCTTTTAAATTATTTGCTGCCGAAATAATTTTTTTTTTTTAAAGTAATTTTAAAGAGAATCAGCGGTATACTTCTAATTTTGTTTAATAAAAACAGAAACTTCCTCCAGAAGATGTTGGCTTCGTGTTGTCGAGTTTTGTTTTTTCTGCAAGATGGTTAAAGGGAGAACGCTGGCCCGCATAGTGAATGCGAACGCAGAGACTGAGAGACGGTTCAAGTTGTCTGCTGCTAAGACGGCGATGTGTATCGGTAAACACCTCCATTGGCAAGCAGCAGGCTCTTACTGAGATTGTGATTCAGCCAAGGATCACACACTCAGCCAGAGCCAAAGTTCAGCTGGGAAGACCCAACCCATAGACAACATCACCTTATCTCCTGCTGGTGATTGGTTATCTGCTGTGTCCAGCCATGGCGGTGACTCTGCAGCGTTTGGATTTGGTACCCCACAGTAACAGCTTCAGGCACCGGCCTGTAATGTCGCTTTGAGCACTGCATGCTGCGTTAGGCATTCACCTTAGCATGTGGTGCAGTATGTTGGGGTAGCCACAGTGTGCTATAGAGGTCCGGGGCAGTGTGGAATCCTCACTGGTTTGACCCAGTCCCTGAAGACCCCTTTGAGCCCCCTGGGTGTCCCTATGGTTCCTCTATATCCTATGGTCCCTTGGCTTCTGCAGTTCCCCATGGCCCCCTTTCCTATTGCCACTTGGCGGCCATGTTTGTACTCCACCCTGCAGTGGAGTATCTTCACTATAAAAATGTGGAGCGGGAGGAGCAGCGGCCATCTTAGTACTCTGTGGGCCCACTTGGGAAGCAGTAGTAAAGGGAAAGCTAGAGCCACAGCTACCAATGGGCCTGGGGGGTGGTACCGGTTTCCCCCGGGAACTCTGGGCGGTTGGCGCGTTAGGTCGTCTCTTCTGATGCATCTATTGCCCCATTGGGGGGGGCCCCTCCACCCTCCTGCCTTAGCGGGAGAGGACGTAAAAACCGGTCCCCATCAGGGCGGCCATGACTACTTCCCTTTATGTCTGATGAGGAGGACGTTGGAGGTTTCTACCTCCTCCCACACTGATGTTTCCTGGCAGGAACCACCTTTTGGGGGATCTTGTTGCCTAAAATGTGTGAAGCCATTTCCATGCTCATTGATGAGGTGCGAGAGTGTCTGGCCGATGATCCCGCCCCCTATAGGCTCGCTCTAAGGTCACCAGCAGTGGCCGAACATGACCACCAGAGCAGCCCATGCAGCTGCTACAGGGCCCCATATATGAGGAGCGGTGCTAGGCGCTAGGGATGCACCGATGCCAGTTTTTAGGTATCAAGTACCGATATTTAGAGTTCGGTGCTTCCGATAGCGTGGAGCCGGCTTCCCGGGAAACCGGGCGGTCTGTCATTACCGGCGCTTGGCTTCTGGATTGCCCAGGAAGCCGGCTCCATGCAGTTTGGCCGCCTCGATGCTGATGGATCGGGAAGCCGGCTTCCCAGCCAATCAGGAAGCTAGGTCATTACCAACCATCAGCTCCATGCCGATTGGCTGGGATGCCGGCTTCCCGGCCAAACAGCGTGGAGCCGGCTTCCTGGCCAATCGGGAAGCCGGGCCACGTGCCATTACTCACGGCTTTGCTTCTTGATTTCCCGGGAAGCCGGCTTCATGTTCCCTCGCGGCACTGCCGGTCAGAGGAAATCTCCCTCTGCCCGCAAATTCTGGTATCGGAGCATTTGGGGAAGTACTCGGTATCGGTGCATCCCTACTGGGGGCCTCTGTCAGCGTGCGCTCCTCTCCCCCCCCCCACGAGATGCAACGACAGCTCAGCAGATTGTACACAGACCCGGCAGAAGCCTTCCACGACTCGCTTCCTCTGCCCGACTCTGATTGATGACAACGAATGCAGAGAACAGCGCAGGAAGAGTACTGGAAGCCGCCCGCCAGCCTCTGTCTCCTAGCAACGTCTGCTAGGATGGGGGGCCCCATGGAAACGCTATTAACTCCTTCACGACTGCAGCAGTCACCATTATTTGGGAGTGTGTTATACTGATTACAGCCACCAGGTGGCAGTGTCATCTCTGCTTTGTATTACAGGGGTGCTGTATGTAGCAATGCTGGTGACATCCTCCAGCCAGGAAATGAGGCGGAGCTCTCTCTGACATGTTGCAGCTTCTAATGCTCATTGTGAGGAGCTCCCAGTGTGCAGAGACATCAGAGGAAGACATTTCAGTCAAGGAGAGCAACTGGTACAACTGTGCACTGTGAACGGGGGGCCGGGGGGCTGCAGCTTTAAATGTTTGTTGGGGAAGAAAAAAAAAAATGTCGCAATGCAGAAAAAAAATACCCGGAATCCAGTGAGCTGTTCATATCCGGGTTGGGATGACACCGTGCCTCTGCAGCTCTCAAATGCTAAGCAGTGTTGTCACCCTGCTGGACTACAGAACTCCCTCCCCCTCTCTACATGCAATCATTGATTCCTATCCCAGCTTCTGCCCGAACCAGGGGTAAGCAACCTCGGCTCTCCAGCTGTGCTGAAACTACAAATCCCATGAGGCATTGGCAAGGCCACAGGCATGACTCCCAGAGGCAGAAGCATGATGGGAGTTGTAGTTTCAGCACAGCTGGAGAGCCCTGGCCTGGACCAATGAGAGCCTTACCCACCGTGTGTAACAAAAGGGCTCTCGGGAGATGTAGCTCTGGGGGGAGTCTTTAGGAACTGACCTCCAAGCAGCTGCCCCTGCACTTTTACCAGCCTTGTGATGATGTCACAGGGAGGAATAAAAGATTTTTCCAGCTATAGGAACAAGGAAACAGTAATTGCTGGGGACATGATATGGGGGGAGCGAGGTTTGGGGTAAATTTGGGAAATTTCCGGGGGGGGATGGGGGGCATTAAGCTGTTGATTTGGGTGCAGTGGCTCCGGTCAGCTACAGAAGCTCATTCACCTATCTGGGACCTGTTCCTGACGTCTCTGCGGCCATATCACTGCTTGGCTCAGTTCAGGATCCCAAAGCAAGCGAATCCCCATTCGTGGTAACGAGTGTCTGGAGGAGGGGAACCAAGTCACATGACCTGACAAACACCCACCCCCTTGCTCCAATCACAGAGAAGCATTACGCATACCACCAATGTGCTGCGTCTACATCGGGCTATCGCAGGGCTGCCACCACCTGGTGCAGCGAAGGGTGTGAGCGCTCTACCCCAATGCAGACTTCTAATATAAATGGAGGGTGAATGGTTCTCATTCAAAGCTTCGATTAAAGCGACGCGTTTCGGGCTCCTCAGGCATCGCTTCATCAGGGCTCTCGGACGTCAGTCCCTGTACTGGTTAAATAGGCCCAGCGTGGAGAACGTGATTGGCCCTTGGTGTAGGGCCCCAGCCGGCCGAGACACCCACCAAAACTTTGAATAAAAACCATTAGGCTGCCCATTTCCAGAGAAAGCTCCGCCCCCTTTGCCTTGGGAGTAGAGCACTTGCCCTTCGCTGTACCGTATTTTTGCTTCCTACATAGTACATAAAAGATCCTCCGGGCCATGAGGTGCTGTGCATGTGAGCAGCTCGCACCTTACAACGTGTGATGTCTGCTTTGCGCTCAGATTCTTTTTGCAGGACTGATAAATACGTCATCGGGCGCGGCCTGCGCTATTCGCCACCAATGGCGTAATATACAACGTTAGATAGCGTAAAGGGCGGCGTGCCGACGTCTGCGTCAACCAATCAGCAATCTGACGCCATCCTTGCAGGCTTAGGTACATGGCTGGGATGGCGGTTACATTGAATCATTATGTATCAGCGCGTTGAAGCGATCTGCATTTTTTAATGGCCAATGCAAAATCATCATAATGTCATATTTAGTGTTCAGGGGCGTGGCAGGGGGCGTGTCTTCAGCTCCAGAGGTTGTCCCTTTTTTTTTTTTTCTCTTCCCATCTTTGTATATATTTGTCCTTTATTGTTCCATATATGGAATTCCTTGCAGCTGTAATACTCGTTCTCCACCAGCAGGTGGCGGTATAACCTCACGTATCATATACCTGTATACTGTACGGGAACCGCACCCACACCTGACCCAGATTACACAGCACGCCATTGGTCGCTGGTCACATGGGCGTCATTCCCAGGAACTTCTCACTATATCTGCATAAAGGATGAACTCAGCGCTGCACCTGACACCTCCCCCTCCCCCATTCTGGAAAGATCTCACCTTAAATTCCTCACCAGTCTCTGAGACTTCAACCCGCTGCTCTGAACAAAGTCGCATGCACAGATCCAGCACTGCTTCCTCCTCCACTGTCACCTTATATATAGATAACTGATCCAGCACTGCTTCCTCCTCCCCTCTCTGACCAGACACACACTGTCACCTTATACACAGATCACTGACCCAGCACTGCTTCCTCCTCCACTATCTGACCAGACACACACTGTCACCTTATATACAGATCACTGATCCAGCACTGCTTCCTCCTCCGCTATCTGACCAGACGCACACTGTCACCTTATATACAGATCACTGATCCAGCACTGCTTCCTCCTCCGCTATCTGACACCAATGTTTTGCTGGTCCCGGCCTTCATCAGATGGTGACTCGGGTGCCCTCCCAGCAGGTTCAGCATTTAGATATTGGACTCATGGACCCCCCCCCCCATGTGACAAGAAAGAATTCCGGCCAGAAGAAATAAATTTACTTCACTTGACAAGAAATAACATTACAAGACAATATTTTTGGTAGTTTTCAGTATATACAACACATTGTTCCCTGCATGACACACAAAGGACCCCCCTCCCCCCATTCCTGTGGCCCTCAGGTTCGGCTCACATGACGTGAATTCTAGACGTGGTCTCACGTCGGCAGTGGGAACGTTTCCATACTTGAGATGAATATGCGAGTTCCAGAGGAACGCTGTTGAGTGCTTTGTCCTTAAAAAGGTTCTTCTCGGGCTGCAGGCCATTTATAAAATCCGCAGAGTGAAGTTCCCGTGAGATCCTCACCAGTCTGTGATGACATGAAAACCTCACCACTGGTCTAAAAAGAGACAGACACCACGGAACAGTCCAAGATCTGACCACATGACCTCGTATCCTGCAGGTTGGCCTTGTGTCCGCGTCAAGAAATTCAAGACTGACATGTTCTTTGTAAATCCTTTGAGAGTGAACTTCCCGGGAGATCTTCGCCGGTTAGCGTTGACGTGAAGGCCTCTCCACTGGTGAATATGGTCCCAGATAACAGACGACACGGAACATTCTAAGTTCTGACCACACAATAGTAAGTTCATATCCTACAAGTCAGCTTTGCGTACAAGTCCACGTCAAGACATTGAAGACCAAGCACCAAGGCCTTCTGTGAACTTCCTTGGAGATCTTCACCAGTTTGTGATGACATGAAGGCCTCAGCACTGGTACAACTGGACCAAACTCTCATGTTCTTTATTAATCCTTCACAAAGTGAACTTCCCGGGAGATCTTCACCAGTGAAGGCCTCACCACAGATGGTCTCCGATAACATAGACGCCATGAAACCGTCTACGCTCTGACCACACGACAGTAGCCTCGTATCCGTCAGCTCTGCGTACAAGTCCTTGTCAAGACATTGAAGACCAAGCGCAGAGGCTCTTTGTAAACCCTGACAGAGTGAACTTCCTTTGATCTCTTCACCAGTTTGCGTTGACATGGAAGCCTCACCACTGGTACAACTGGTATAAAATGATACAGACACCACGGAACAGTCGAAGATCTGACCACACAACAGTAGCCTCGCATCCTGCAGGTTGGCCTTGGCTTTCTTGACGAGGACTGGTACATAAGGCCAAACTCATGTTCTTTGTAAATCCTTTAAGGAGTAAACATCCCATGATATCTTCACCGGTTTGTGTTGACATGAAGGCCTCTCCACTGGTGAAAATGTTATCCTCCGATAACCTAGACGCCATGAAACCGTCTAAGTTCCGACCACACAACAGTAACCTCGTATCCGTCAAGTCAGCCCCATCTACAAGTCCTCGTCGAGACACTGAAGACTAAGCGCAAAGGTTCTTTGTGCTCAGAAAAGTTGGATGATCTTTTTTCGAAGAGAAACATCAAACGGAGAACAATAGACAAGAGTGAGAACTTATCACCCCAACATCAAACTCTTTCATATCAAAGAAGTGAGGCAATTTTCTTGATGAGAACGTTGGTTCATTTGTGGAGAGGCCACGGTCATATTTAAATACTTTAGGCATTGATGTATTTGGCAACAAAATTTGAACATGGTCCTTGGCCACAAAAGTTGAGCAGGCCTACCCCTGTTTGGAGTCTGACCTGGGGACTATATGTCTTTGTCCTCAGTAACACGACCGTGAAACTGGCCTACAAAGAGATGAAGAAATCTACCGTGAGACGTTCCCGGGGGTTTGCCAAAAGATCACAGCCGGTCCTTTAAGCCCATTTAAAATTAAAAAAAATATTATTTTAGTAACCCTGGAGAACCTTTTGATGGACAAGTCAAAAGTTGAACAAAGGCGTTGGAGAATTTTTGACCTAATCCAAAAGGTCCAGAGCTGAAAACTAGCTCAGAGTCATGTGCGATTACTTCCAGGGATGAAGCGAATCCTCATGTCCTTCAGTCCAATAGTGAGTGTGCAGAAGTTTAATACTTTTGGAAATAAAATAGAAGAATACATTTGGCCAAAGCTCGGTTGTCCCTCAATGGCCAGCCAAACACATTTCAGTTCTCAGTTGTACTTGTCCATTCTGGTCCTCGTTGATGTGAAAGTAACAGCACAGTGCCACTGGACCATGATGAGCTTCACCATGACACCTGTCCAAGATTGGACAACTCAATTCCTTTACACGGTGGCACTGGTATTATCTTCCTTCAGTCAGTCGGCAAGGAGCTCCAAGGCCAAACGTTGAGGTCTTTGAAGATCGGAAAGAACGAGTGAACTTTGAAATGAGAGAAACCTGGCAAGAAATACGACTTGACTTCTTTGAAGCCCAACACTAAATGTCCAACTCTTCGGGAGGTCTGGAAATTGGAGATCATTGGTCACTTTTTGTGCTTAAAAAATAATCTGGTCCCGTCTTATGGGACATTTGTGCTATTCTAGAGAACGGATAAGGATCCATCCATCCAACCAACCGTGGACAGCGGTTAACACATTCAGAGAGAAGCTAGCAGCAGTTCCTGGCCAATCCTCGGCCCACCTCCAGCTTTTTCGAGCTGGCTGTAGGACCGAGCATCTTTTTTCCTTCATCAAAGGTTGCACAATAAACCCCGACCTGATTGTTCAGTCAAAACATCGATCAGTATCTAGTTGCCGAGTGGTGGAACTCGAATGATCAAGCCGAACTAGATTTCTTCTTGGTGTCGCCCGTCTGGTTGACTATCTGCCGCGCGGCCTGCAGGACGCGATATCGCTCCCGAAGGTTCCGCCTCCTGACGTGTTCGTTGGTGATCTCCTGGACGTAGCGGGCGGGAAACCAACCCTTCTTGCCATCGGAAAGCCGGATGCCCTCACACCAACCTAAGAGGTGGAAACACAGTGTCAGCTTTCCAAGGGCCACACGTCTACCTAGAATATTCCTCAGTTACATCGGCAAATTGCAGCCTACATAAATTTTACGCAGCCTGGCTCCTCCCACCCAACTCCTGAGAACCTCATTAGATACAGAGTAGAAGGTTGGCGTTGGGTAGAACTTTGCTGATTCGGTGCACTGTAACCTTCAATTCTAAGGAGAACAAATGATCTTCACTGATCTCAATATGACCCCCAACCATCAATTGCCTAATACGCTCAACTAGCTGCTAGACCCATGAACCATCACAATGTAGCAGGTCACATGTTCCTCCTACACCCAGACGTGTGGGAAAGGTTACAGTGTCTCTTTTTGGGGGTTTTCCTTACTGTGAGCCCAGGTCTGTCATAAAAAACACAGGAACGGGATCTTCTGATCAACATGGACCCAGGGGCGTAACCACAGATCATGGGGCCCCATAGCAAAATTTGGATGGGGTCTCACAGCAACCTCCCTACTGTCAAGGATATTAAAGTCGGGTAGCAGGAGAACTGCCAGCATAGCCCCCTCCTCCTCCCCCCCACCCCCATACATCTGATGTCAGCTCTTCTTGATTAATAATGTCAGTGTCAGCAAGAACGTCTGCAATCCTTATTGGGGGCCCCCTTCCACCCCCAGGCCCCATAGAAGCCGCACGGCCGCTATGGCTATTGTTACGCCACTGCATGGACCTCTATTTCCTCTAACAAACCACCTCAGTAGAGGCAAAGTATAACCGAAGGCCGCGTAAGAGAAGAAAGCTGGCAGAGATCATACGAGTATCTCCAGAGCAGAGAAAGGTGACCAATGAGGTTCCACTTCCGGATCACAGTGTTCCTCCAGAAGAACCCGATATTCTCCACACCAATCGTGCATACAGATTGGCTCTCTGTCCTATCTTGCTATCTTACATCCCCTCGAGGCCACGCCCCTCCCGCACTCACCTTCAGACGTTTTGCGCAGCACATTAATGATGTCGGAGGGCTCCAGGTGCAGCTCGTCAGCCTGCGCAGCGGAGTACTGCTCCACGCAGTGTACCTGGGGGCAATCTGGAGACGGAGGAGAAGAACAAAAGGATCAGAAATAACCGAGACAACCCGAGTAACGTGCCAAGAGGGAGGAGACTCACCCCAATCCTCGTATATCGTGTCACTGCCGGATAACGAGTCATCGTTCTTACTGGGAAACGCTGCCACCCAACGGTGCAAATCAGACCTGAGGGGGACAATGTATAAAGAAATCAGTGACCCCTTCTGTCTGTATCACCCTGCAGGAGGAGGACAGACTCATAGCTCCCTTCTGTCTGTATCACCCTGCAGGAGGAGGACAGACTCATAGCTCCCTTCTGTCTGTATCACCCTGCAGGAGGAGGACAGACTCATAGCTCCCTTCTGTCTGTATCACCCGGCCGGAGGAGGACAGACTCATAGCTCCCTTCTATCTGTATCACCCTGCAGGAGGAGGACAGACTCATAGCTCCCTTCTATGTATCACCCTGCAGGAGGAGGACAGACTCATAGCTCCCTTCTATGTATCACCCTGCAGGAGGAGGACAGACTCATAGCTCCCTTCTATGTATCACCCTGCAGGAGGAGGACAGACTCATAGCTCCCTTCTATGTATCACCCTGCAGGAGGAGGACAGACTCATAGCTCCCTTCTATGTATCACCCTGCAGGAGGAGGACAGACTCATAGCTCCCTTCTATGTATCACCCTGCAGGAGGAGGACAGACTCATAGCTCCCTTCTATGTATCACCCTGCAGGAGGAGGACAGACTCATAGCTCCCTTCTATGTATCACCCTGCAGGAGGAGGACAGACTCATAGCTCCCTTCTATGTATCACCCTGCAGGAGGAGGACAGACTCATAGCTCCCTTCTATGTATCACCCTGCAGGAGGAGGACAGACTCATAGCTCCCTTCTATGTATCACCCTGCAGGAGGAGGACAGACTCATAGCTCCCTTCTATGTATCACCCTGCAGGAGGAGGACAGACTCATAGCTCCCTTCTATGTATCACCCTGCAGGAGGAGGACAGACTCATAGCTCCCTTCTATGTATCACCCTGCAGGAGGAGGACAGACTCATAGCTCCCTTCTATGTATCACCCTGCAGGAGGAGGACAGACTCATAGCTCCCTTCTATGTATCACCCTGCAGGAGGAGGACAGACTCATAGCTCCCTTCTATGTATCACCCTGCAGGAGGAGGACAGACTCATAGCTCCCTTCTATGTATCACCCTGCAGGAGGAGGACAGACTCATAGCTCCCTTCTATGTATCACCCTGCAGGAGGAGGACAGACTCATAGCTCCCTTCTATGTATCACCCTGCAGGAGGAGGACAGACTCATAGCTCCCTTCTATGTATCACCCTGCAGGAGGAGGACAGACTCATAGCTCCCTTCTATGTATCACCCTGCAGGAGGAGGACAGACTCATAGCTCCCTTCTATGTATCACCCTGCAGGAGGAGGACAGACTCATAGCTCCCTTCTGTCTGTATCACCCTGCAGGAGGAGGACAGACTCAACCACCATGTATCACCCGGTAATGGGAGGAGCCTACTCACTGTGTTGGTGCCTTAAAGAGCCGGTCACAGGTTTTGCCCTGGTGATTCTCCAGTAGGGTCAGGAAGAAGCTGTTCTCCATTGTAGGGCAGGACTGGATCTGAACCAGAGAACGATGAGCATAATCCACAACAACATGCCGGTCAGAGCTGAAAGAATACGAGCAGACCTTTGAGAAGGGAGATAAGGATAAGGAGGAGGAGGGGAGGAGAGATGGAGGAAGGGGCGAAATGTAAAAGATAATGGGGGGCGGTTCGTACCCTTTCTTCTGGGTGATCAACAAGAAATCATTGAAGAGGAAGAAGTAGACCGGGGTCAGTTTGGTGGGTTTGATCCCGAACAGACTCCCCTTCTGCTGCACTTCGCTCAGCTCTCCTTGCTTCTCCAGGAACCGACTCTGAGAAATGATCGGGATGGCCTGGAAGAGGAATGTTTTACCAATTAACCCCCCCGCACCACGCTGAACCCCCATACACACACACACCCCACCATTTCTGGATTAGGGAGACTTCTCAAGTGGTGAATTTGTCCTACGAGCCTTCCTACCCATTGGATCCTCAGCATGGCTCTTCCAGCCTTCGTCTGCAGTAGCAGAGCTCCACCCCTGAGGAAATACGTCCCATTCCAGCAGAGCTACAAAGCCCCACCCTGTCCCACAAAGCTCCGCCCCCGAGGTGTCATGACATAGAAATATATGTTGTAGCAGGAAGTAAACTTCATAGGTGAGCTGACCTTTATCTTGTCAAACTCGATCTTGGAGGAGATGTGGATCAGTTCCTCGGTCTGCCGCATGCGGCCCACTTCCCGGTTGCACTCCTGGATGATCTGCCGGATTGGGGAGAGAATTCATTAGCTGGAAGACCAAAATTCTGTCCCGGACATCAGAAGGAAAATAATCTCTGGTGCTGTTACTACTTCCAACCTGGAAGATTGAGACGCTATAGCCTGAGCCAATCACATGGTGTAGGTGCTATGCCGCCTCATCGGGGGAATGGCTCAGCGTTCTCTGTACAGCACTGCGGTATATGTCAGATCTACACGACACGTTATCATACATGTAACACGTCTGTACCTTGGAGACGGTGTCCAGGGCTTTGCTGGCATTCTGTTCGGCCTCCGATCCCTCCTCCGTCCTCTTCAGAACATTCTGTGAGGGGGGGGAAAAAAGGAAATTAAGTGAAAAAAAGGGCAGCAGCAGGAAGGACATGAATGGGAGGCGCTGGCACTGCGGGAGCTCCTGGAGGCGGCACACCACGGCATGGAACTGAGGATTCTTCTCCCTGCCGGACCCAGAGAGAGACACAGAGCAGTCAGTCGAGTGGAGTGTGGTCAGGTGAGGGAAGTGCGGTCAGGTGAGGGGAGTGCGGTCAGGTGAGGGGAGTGCGGTCAGGTGAGGGGACTGCGGTCAGGTGAAGGGTGTGCGGTCAGGTGAAGGGTGTGCGGTCAGGTGAGGGCTGTGCGGTCAGGTGAGGGGACTGCGGTCAGGTGAGGGGACTGCGGTCAGGTGAGTGAGTAGAACCCGCCGGCAGTGGTCAGGGTCTCACATGAGCTCGCTGTAGGTCTTCTCCTGGTACAGCTGGTTCCGCACATAGTCCTTGTAGACGGGGAAGTTATGCACGGCGTGGTGATAGATGATGTCACAGATATCCGATATGACAACGTCCTCGTCCACCCGGGACTCCAGATCCATCAGGAACCTGCCAGATACTCAGCATCACTCTGCGGCCTCCATCACAGCACATACTCAGCATCACCATACACAGGGCAGCCTCTATCACAGCACAAACTCGGCACCACCATACACTGTGTGGCCTACCTCTCGCTGACCTCCTTCACTCTCAGGATGTTGGAGAAGAGGATTTTCTTCTCGCGGACAATCAGCGTTTCCTGCAGATCCCGACATCCCAGGAAATGTTCCGTCAGCACATTCAGTGAGCGGAGATACGAGACTTCCGAGGTCAGGACTTCAAACATGCTCTGAGGACAACAAGAACAACATGGCCGACTGTTACTACCACATATCATGGGGGACAACATGGCCAACCATCACTACCTCATATCATGGGGACAGCATGGCCAACCATCACTACCTCATATCATGGGGGACAGCATGGCCAACCATCACTAGGACAACATGGCCAACCATCACTACCTCACATCATGGAGGACAACCATCACTACCTCATATCATGGGGGACAACATGGCCAACCATCACTACCTCATATCATGGGGGACAACATGGCCAACCATCACTACCTCATATCATGGGGGACAACATGGCCAACCATCACTACCTCATATCATGGGGACAGCATGGCCAACCATCACTACCTCATATCATGGGGGACAACATGGCCAACCATCACTACCTCATATCATGGGGAACAACATGGCCAACCATCACTACCTCATATCATGGAGGACAACATGGCTAACCATCACTACCTCATATCATGGGAGACAACATGGCCAACCATCACTACCTCATATCATAGAGGACAACATGGCCAACCATCACTACCTCATATCATGGGGACAGCATGGCCAACCATCACTACCTCATATCATGGGGGACAACATGGCCAACCATCACTACCTCATATCATGGGGAACAACATGGCCAACCATCACTACCTCATATCATGGAGGACAACATGGCTAACCATCACTACCTCATATCATGGGAGACAACATGGCCAACCATCACTACCTCATATCATAGAGGACAACATGGCCAACCATCACTACCTCATATCATGGGGGACAACATGGCCGACCATTACTACCTCATATCATGGAGGACAACATGGCCGACCATTACTACCTCATATCATGGGGACAACAGGGCCAACCATCACTACCTCATATCATGGAGGACAACATGGCCGACCATTACTACCTCATATCATAGAGGACAACATGGCCAACCATCACTACCTCATATCATAGAGGACAACATGGCCAACCATCACTACCTCATATCATAGAGGACAACATGGCCAACCATCACTACCTCATATCATAGAGGACAACATGGCCAACCATCACTACCTCATATCATAGAGGACAACATGGCCAACCATCACTACCTCATATCATAGAGGACAACATGGCCAACCATCACTACCTCATATCATAGAGGACAACATGGCCAACCATCACTACCTCATATCATAGAGGACAACATGGCCAACCATCACTACCTCATATCATAGAGGACAACATGGCCAACCATCACTACCTCATATCATAGAGGACAACATGGCCAACCATCACTACCTCATATCATAGAGGACAACATGGCCAACCATCACTACCTCATATCATAGAGGACAACATGGCCAACCATCACTACCTCATATCATAGAGGACAACATGGCCAACCATCACTACCTCATATCATAGAGGACAACATGGCCAACCATCACTACCTCATATCATAGAGGACAACATGGCCAACCATCACTACCTCATATCATAGAGGACAACATGGCCAACCATCACTACCTCATATCATAGAGGACAACATGGCCAACCATCACTACCTCATATCATAGAGGACAACATGGCCAACCATCACTACCTCATATCATAGAGGACAACATGGCCAACCATCACTACCTCATATCATAGAGGACAACATGGCCAACCATCACTACCTCATATCATAGAGGACAACATGGCCAACCATCACTACCTCATATCATGGAGGACAACATGGCCGACCATCACTACCTCATATAATGGAGGACAACATGGCCAACCATCACTACCTCATATTATTGGGGACAACATGGCCAATCATCACTACCTCATATCATGGGGGACGACATGGCCAACCATCACTACCTCATATCATAGAGGACAACATGGCCAACCAATACTACCTCATATCATGGGGGACAACATGGCCGACCATCACTACCTCATATCATGGGGACAACATGGCCGACCATTACTACCTCATATCATAGAGGACAACATGGCCGACCATCACTACCTCTTATCATGGGGGACAACATGGCCAACCATCACTACCTCATATCATGGAGGACAACATGGCTGACCATCACTACCTCATATAATGGAGGACAACATGGCCGACCATCACTACCTCATATTATTGGGGACAACATGGCCAACCATCACTTCCTCATATCATGGAGGACAACATGGCTCACCTCCTGCATCTTCTTCTCATCGTTGCTCATGCTCTCCAGCACTCCGCTCTCCATCACGGAGGGTAGTTCCTGCCACAGGGTGTTGTGGGGTACAGTGGACCTCCGTCCTTGTTTCGGGGACCCCCCATAGGGCAGAGGACTTTCCTGAGAGGAGTCGTAGCTGGTGAAGCTGCTGTTCCGTGAAACCGTCTGACGCCGAATTTCTTTATTGATCACCGACTGGCGGTACGTCTGATAGAGCGGCTCTGCGAGAGAGACAAGTGTGTATAATGTCATGTGTCCTTCACAGTATTACTCCACCCAACATCCCCATCACAGAGCACTCCTCTCCCGATATACTCTGCTCTGCTGGAGGACTCTGCTCCTTCCTCTATAACTCTCCTGAAATACTCTGCTCTGCTGGAGGACTCTGACTCACCGTCTCTGAGGTGGGACTCCCAGTCTATACATTTCGGGCTTTTCACTGCTAAAGGTCTGCAAAGAAAAAACAAAAATAAAATGAACACGTTGCTGACAGTCACCTCTTACGCGTTTCGACGACGGACCCTCCTCCTCGGAGTCACGTGACTCGCACACGCAATGTGTGTGGACGAGTCTTGCAGCTCTGAGGATGAGGGTTCGTCCCCGAAACGCGTAAGCCAGGATTCACACTTGTTGCAGTGACTGGGTTGCTGGGATGCGTTGGAAGGGGGCGGGTCCCTCCTCGGATGGGTTCCATGACAAACACTTTATAATAAAGTTTTATTGAAGAGGTCACATGATGCCGTTCTATCGGGTTCTGTAGTCCGTCCCTCTGAAACTAAACCCCGTCCAATCAGAGTAACTTAGTCATTAATAAAAGCGTCATGTCTGTGGGCGGGGCTTAGTGGGCCGAGGTGGTTCAGTCTATTGGGTAGCCCCCAGTGCCTAAAACATGTCAGGATGAGCAGTACATGCAGCAAAGTGACGGGTGTCCGAAGGGGCCGGGTGGGGCCGGATGATGATGACTCACTGACCTGAAGGCGGACGACTCCGAACCCGACGACTCTGCGGGAGAGAAGAAAACACTAGGACTACAAATCCCAACACAGAACTACAAAACACAGCCCACATCACCTGAACTACAGACACAGCCCACACCACCTAAACTACAGACACAGCCCACATCACCTGAACTACCGAAACACAGCCCACACCACCTGAACTACAGACACAGCCCACAGCACCTGAACTACAGACACAGCCCACATCACCTGAACTACAAAAACAGCCCACATCACCTGAACTACAGACACAGCCCACATCACCTGAACTACAGACACAGCCCACATGACCTGAACTACAGACACAGCCCACACCACCTGAACTACAGACACAGCCCACACCACCTGAACTACAAACACAGCCCACACCACCTGAACTACAAACACAGCCCACACCACCTGAACTAGAGACAAAGCCCACATCACCTGAACTAGAGACACAGCCCACATCACCTGAACTAGAGACACAGCCCACATCACCTGAAGTACAAACACAGCCCAAGCACCTGAACTACAGACACAGCCCACACCACCTGAACTACAGACACAGCCCACACCACCTGAACTACAGACACAGCCCACATCACCTGAACTACAGACACAGCCCACATCACCTGAACTACAAACACAGCCCACATCACCTGAACTACAGACACAGCCCACAGCACCTGAACTACAGACACAGCCCACATCACCTGAACTACAAACACAGCCCACACCACCTGAACTAAAGACACAGCCCACATCACCTGAATCATTTTAAGGGTTACTTACCGTTGGCGTCATCGGATGAGGAGTGCCGATCTCTAGCTCTGTCCACCGGCAGGCTGCACGAGGACGCCTTCTTGTCCCGTTCGGTCGGCTCTTCTGAGTTCCCCGTGGAATACCTCTTCAGAGATCCCTTTCTCAGAAACGGGGGAGGAGCCAGGGGAGGCGGAGGGGCCGCCCCCCGAGGAGGCTTGCTGGGCACCTTAGGGGGCACGAATGCCGGGGGCTCGGACGGGTCACACAAGGCCTGGGTAGGCGGCACCTTATTGCGAGGTGTCCGTGGCGGACGAGCTCGTCAGACTTTCCGTGGAGTCCCCAGAGTTCATCTCCTTGTCTGCGATGGGCACCACGCGGTCGCAGAACGAGATACTCTTCAGCTTTGGAGGTTTGGCGATGGGCGCGTAGCCATTGGTGTGTTCGAGGGACGGCCCGTTACATAAATTACTCGGGGGCGGGGCCTCAGTGTGAGTGGCAGCAGAGTCCACGTCACCACCACCAGGGGTCACTCCGTGCCTAGGAACCTCAGGAGCACCGCCTGTCCTGAGAATTTCGCCTTGGCACCCCTCCTCGCAGGTAGCGCCGGGCAGGTCACAGTCCACGGTGGATTTGTAGGAGGTGAGGACGATCCCGCCATTCTCCTTCTCCTCCCCGACCCCATCGGCAGAGTTGTGCCGGGAATGCTCCTTGAATCTCAGGGATCGGCGTCTGACGGGGTAGCTTGTCCCGGCCGTCATCTTGTCCTTCAGGGACCTCGGGCCCCACTTTCCTCCTCCACCATCGTCGTCATCATTCCTCTGGAAGATGCCGCCGTCCTCAGAAGGGTCCGGGGCCTCGCCGGGCACGGAAGATTCCGGAACCCAGACCAATACGAAGCCGGGTCTCTGTTGGTGGCAACCACAGCCGCATCCACTGGGGCAGGCCAGCCGGGGAGGGCATGACGCCATCTTGGCCGATCGCTCATCTGGGTCTTGGAAAAGCTTCGGAGGAAGTGCTGGTGATGGAGAAGAAAAAGAGAAACCGAGAATGTAAAATCAGGCAAAAAGTTGGTGAAGAAGGCGAAAACCAAAAACTTTTCCGGTAAGAAAATGCTAAAAAGTTCAATACAAACCCTCCGACTTTCCTACACGTTGTCTGTATGGTGCAGAAGATTAAATATGAACATCAACCACGGGGACGTGACCTCAACCACCGGGGCGGGACCTCAACCACCGGGGCGGGACCTCAACCACCGGGGCGGGACCTCAGCCACCGGGGCGGGACCTCAGACACGGGGACAGGACCTCAGCCTCAGGGACATGAGAACCCCCCTTTCCACAGAACTACATCTCCCAGGAGCCCTTTCCATGCACACAGTGGGGGCGGGGTCTTGTGAGTCAAGGCAGCAGCATTGTTTTGCTGGGAAATGAACCAGATATATGTATATGCAGCGGGACACAGAGGGGTGGGGGGAGTTGTGTAGTCCTGCAGGCAGGGGTGACACCGCACCTTAGGCACCCCCTGGGGGTTCTGGCAGAGGGATTTCTGGCCACATCAAGTGGCACAAGTTGGTGCAAATGCTGCTTCCTGTATGAGCGGCGTGTGATGACCTCATGCCGGAGGGAACTGGGAGATTATAATTGGCTGATTATTAGAGGAAAATCCCGGCAGAGGGACAATGAGGCCCATTGAGGGCGCCACAGAAAATGCCCCTTTTATCCCTTAACAATGGCCGGCCGTGTGCTGGGATCAGCGAGGAGATTAAACACGAGAGAGTGTCAGAGACCTCCAACTACAACGAAGAGCCGGAGAGACCTCCAACTACAACGAGGAGCCTGAGAGAGACCTCCAACTACAACGAAGAGCCGGAGATAGACCTCCAACTACAATGAGGAGCCAGAGAGACCTCCAACTACAATGAAGAGCCAGAGAGACCTCCAACTACAAAGAGGAGCCGGAGAGAGACCTCCAAGTACAACGAGGAGCCGGAGAGAGACCTCCAAGTACAACGAGGAGCCGGAGAGAGACCTCCAACTACAACGAAGAGCCGGAGAGAGACCTCCAACTACAACGAGGAGCCGGAGAGACCTCCAACTACAACGAGGAGCCGGAGAGACCTCCAACTACAACGATGAGCTGGAGAGAGACCTCCAACTACAACGAAGAGCCGGAGAGACCTCCAACTACAACGAGGAACCGGAGAGAGACCTCCAACTACAACGAGGAACCGGAGAGACCTCCAACTACAACGAAGAGCCGGAGAGACCTCCAACTACAACGAGGAGCCTGAGAGAGACCTCCAACTACAACGGAGAGCCGGAGATAGACCTCCAACTACAACGAGGAGCCAGAGAGACCTCCAACTACAATGAAGAGCCAGAGAGACCTCCAACTACAAAGAGGAGCCGGAGAGAGACCTCCAAGTACAACGAGGAGCCGGAGAGAGACCTCCAAGTACAACGAGGAGCCGGAGAGAGACCTCCAACTACAACGAAGAGCCGGAGAGAGACCTCCAACTACAACAAGGAGCCAAGGAGAACTACAACGAGGAGCCGGAGAGAGACCTCCAACTACAACGAGGAGCCGGAGAGACCTCCAACTACAACGAAGAGCAAGAGACCTCCAACTACAACGAAGAGCTGGAGAGACCTCCAACTACAACGAGTAGCCGGAGAGACCTCCAAATACAACGAAGAGCCGGAGAGACCTCCAACTAGGACGAGGAACCGGAGAGGCCTCAAACTACAACAGGGAGTCAGAGAGAGACCTCCAACTACAACGAGGAGCCGGAGAGACCTCCAACTACAACGAGGAAGCGGAGAGAGACCTCCAACTACAACGAGGAAGCGGAGAGACCTCCAACTACAACCGGGAGTCAGAGAGAGACCTCCAACTACAACGAGGAGCCGGAGAGAGAACTACAACGAGGAGCCGGAGAGAGACCTCCAACTAAAACGAGGAGCCGGAGAGAGACCTCTAACTACAAATTTCCTCTCTGGTGACGGGCAGATGGAGGTCGGAATTGGTGTAGAAATGTAACCTAATAATAGGCGGCTGGTCCGGGATCTTCCCTCCGGAGCCCGGAATTGGCCCCTGGCCCCCGACAAAGGTGACCCCGCAAGACCGGCATTGGCTGCATATGTACTATAGCTTTGTATCACTAGCCCCGCACAGGCTCTAGAAGTATCCACGGCGCGCTGCCTGGTGAAGTTTTTAGTGTCCCTCGAGCTGACTTCACATCGGAAATACACTGTGACAGTTTTTCATGCCGAAATATCTGTGATTCTGTTCAGCTGGACTTGTGGTTTCCTGCAATCCTCTGTCCCCTGCCACACTGTGCAGCCAGGACGGTGACAGCGCTACCTAGAGCCTACCACTGTGCAGGCTCCCGTGTCACCTTCCTGACCCCAGGCTGCTGAGTGGACTCTGCATCAGCAACATTGGGGAGCTCCTCCCCTCAGCTGACTACACTCCTCCCACCTCTGTCCCCCAGTGCCAGAAACATGTTAGTTTGATATCGTTTTGTCATCAAATAGCGCCCAATGCTCTCACTCTGTGTGTGGGGGACGGAGGAAAGATTGACGCAGAAGAGTGACCACTGATTAGAGTGTAAGCTCCTCTGTACAGAGACGGATGTGACTGTGGGGGGGAGGGGACATTAGAGTGTAAGCTCCTATGGTTCCCCAGAAGGCTGCCGCGAGGTCCTCAGCAAGTGCAGGACCTGTGGCAGTACCCGTGATGCTCGGTACTGGCACCGATACTGATACTGGTATCCCTAGGTTTAGCTTTACCCTGAGTGCCGCCGGACAACTCTGGAGCCGGGAGGCGGAGCCTTCATATTTGTTACTCTGATCACTTCCTGATGATTCCAGCGTGAGAACATCGGACACAGAGACCAGCCTGCTATGCGCACTCAGGAGACGGGAGGTGCTGACAGCATGAGGCAAAGCAGATGTCATGTGACCTCTCATCCTTCAGACAGCGCCGGGAAGACTGTGGGTGTAGGGGACATTAGAGTGTAAGCTCCTCTGTATAGAGACTGATGTGACTGTGGGGGAGGGGACATTAGAGTGTAAGCTCCTCTGTAAGGAGAAGAACTGGACAAGGCCTGGCTCACAAGTGGTGTTCAGTAGGGTTGAGGTCTGGGCTCTGTGCAGGACACTCGAGTTCCTCCTCCAAACTGGTCCCACCATGTCTATATGGAGCTGGCTTTGTACACAGGGGACAGTCATGGTGGGACATAAAAGGGTCTTCACCAAACTGATACCATAAGGCTGGAAGAGCATAATTGTCTACAATGTCTTTGTATGATGGAGGATTACCAGAACCCTGTACTGGAGACCCGTGACCATCGTACCTACTATATGGCCATAAAATACATGGAAACCCCTCCAAGTCATGGAGACATCTGAAATATCAATAACATGTTAAATCTGAAGTTTAATTTCCTTTTATTCGCCTTCCCTGGTTCCCCCTCCCTCATCAATATGCAAATGAACTTGGGAAAAAAACCTGTCTACAAAAACTACTTTCGTTTAGACTCAATTATGTCAACACTGGGTCTACGTGCTTCTCTAGATCATGGCTGGTGGGAGGGGCCAGCAGGGTGCAGTACATAGCTTCCTAAAAACATCACAGCACCCTGTGTCAGTACTTTCTCTCAAGAGCCCTCAGGACTGATGCAAGCAGTGGGCTGGCTCTTGGGAGGAGTTATGCAAATATCAAAATGCCTTCAGGGGTGGGTGTCAGTCTGGAGGAGTGGGTGTTCCTAGGCAGAATGTATTTGCATAAAGACTTCCCTAAACCCACATGTGATGCTGAGCCTTCATGATTGACAGAACTGAAATCCAATAAATGAAGGGGGCGGGCTAAGGACAGTCAGGCTGGGGAGGAAAGTTCTAGGTAATGCCGGGAGTCCTCCAGCTAAGAAATGAGGCGGGCTCTATGTGACTTGCTGCAGCCATTAATGCACATTGTGAGAAGCTCCCAGTGTGCAGAGATATCAGAGGAAGAGGAGAGGAGCCGGTACACCTGTGCAAGACTGAAGGGGAGGACGGAGGTCAGATAGAAGACTGAAGGGAAGGCCGGAGGTCAGATAGAAGACTGAAGGGAAGGCCGGAGGTCAGATAGAAGACTGAAGGGAAGGCCGGAGGTCAGATAGAAGACTGAAGGGAAGGCCGGAGGTCAGATAGAAGACTGAAGGGAAGGCCGGAGGTCAGATAGAAGACTGAAGGGAAGGCCGGAGGTCAGATAGAAGACTGAAGGGAAGGCCGGAGGTCAGATAGAAGACTGAAGGGAAGGCCGGAGGTCAGATAGAAGACTGAAGGGAAGGCCGGAGGTCAGATAGAAGACTGAAGGGAAGGCCGGAGGTCAGATAGAAGACTGAAGGGAAGGCCGGAGGTCAGATAGAAGACTGAAGGGAAGGCCGGAGGTCAGATAGAAGACTGAAGGGAAGGCCGGAGGTCAGATAGAAGACTGAAGGGAAGGCCGGAGGTCAGATAGAAGACTGAAGGGAAGGCCGGAGGTCAGATAGAAGACTGAAGGGAAGGCCGGAGGTCAGATAGAAGACTGAAGGGAAGGCCGGAGGTCAGATAGAAGACTGAAGGGAAGGCCGGAGGTCAGATAGAAGACTGAAGGGAAGGCCGGAGGTCAGATAGAAGACTGAAGGGAAGGCCGGAGGTCAGATAGAAGACTGAAGGGAAGGCCGGAGGTCAGATAGAAGACTGAAGGGAAGGCCGGAGGTCAGATAGAAGACTGAAGGGAAGGCCGGAGGTCAGATAGAAGACTGAAGGGAAGGCCGGAGGTCAGATAGAAGACTGAAGGGAAGGCCGGAGGTCAGATAGAAGACTGAAGGGAAGGCCGGAGGTCAGATAGAAGACTGAAGGGAAGGCCGGAGGTCAGATAGAAGACTGAAGGGAAGGCCGGAGGTCAGATAGAAGACTGAAGGGAAGGCCGGAGGTCAGATAGAAGACTGAAGGGAAGGCCGGAGGTCAGATAGAAGACTGAAGGGAAGGCCGGAGGTCAGATAGAAGACTGAAGGGAAGGCCGGAGGTCAGATAGAAGACTGAAGGGAAGGCCGGAGGTCAGATAGAAGACTGAAGGGAAGGCCGGAGGTCAGATAGAAGACTGAAGGGAAGGCCGGAGGTCAGATAGAAGACTGAAGGGAAGGCCGGAGGTCAGATAGAAGACTGAAGGGAAGGCCGGAGGTCAGATAGAAGACTGAAGGGAAGGCCGGAGGTCAGATAGAAGACTGAAGGGAAGGCCGGAGGTCAGATAGAAGACTGAAGGGAAGGCCGGAGGTCAGATAGAAGACTGAAGGGAAGGCCGGAGGTCAGATAGAAGACTGAAGGGAAGGCCGGAGGTCAGATAGAAGACTGAAGGGAAGGCCGGAGGTCAGATAGAAGACTGAAGGGAAGGCCGGAGGTCAGATAGAAGACTGAAGGGAAGGCCGGAGGTCAGATAGAAGACTGAAGGGAAGGCCGGAGGTCAGATAGAAGACTGAAGGGAAGGCCGGAGGTCAGATAGAAGACTGAAGGGAAGGCCGGAGGTCAGATAGAAGACTGAAGGGAAGGCCGGAGGTCAGATAGAAGACTGAAGGGAAGGCCGGAGGTCAGATAGAAGACTGAAGGGAAGGCCGGAGGTCAGATAGAAGACTGAAGGGAAGGCCGGAGGTCAGATAGAAGACTGAAGGGAAGGCCGGAGGTCAGATAGAAGACTGAAGGGAAGGCCGGAGGTCAGATAGAAGACTGAAGGGAAGGCCGGAGGTCAGATAGAAGACTGAAGGGAAGGCCGGAGGTCAGATAGAAGACTGAAGGGAAGGCCGGAGGTCAGATAGAAGACTGAAGGGAAGGCCGGAGGTCAGATAGAAGACTGAAGGGAAGGCCGGAGGTCAGATAGAAGACTGAAGGGAAGGCCGGAGGTCAGATAGAAGACTGAAGGGAAGGCCGGAGGTCAGATAGAAGACTGAAGGGAAGGCCGGAGGTCAGATAGAAGACTGAAGGGAAGGCCGGAGGTCAGATAGAAGACTGAAGGGAAGGCCGGAGGTCAGATAGAAGACTGAAGGGAAGGCCGGAGGTCAGATAGAAGACTGAAGGGAAGGCCGGAGGTCAGATAGAAGACTGAAGGGAAGGCCGGAGGTCAGATAGAAGACTGAAGGGAAGGCCGGAGGTCAGATAGAAGACTGAAGGGAAGGCCGGAGGTCAGATAGAAGACTGAAGGGAAGGCCGGAGGTCAGATAGAAGACTGAAGGGAAGGCCGGAGGTCAGATAGAAGACTGAAGGGAAGGCCGGAGGTCAGATAGAAGACTGAAGGGAAGGCCGGAGGTCAGATAGAAGACTGAAGGGAAGGACAGAGGTCAGATAGAAGACTGAAGGGAAGGCCGGAGGTAAGATTGAAAGCTTCCAGGAGATTTTGGTGAACGGGTTTATCGGCTTAGCCCTTCCCCCACTCTATCCAAAACAAGAAAAGTTTGGGTTGTGCTGGATGGCGAATTTCTATTCTTTTAATAAAATCTAATCTTTGTTTTCACTTTTATTGGCTTCTTAAAGTTTTATAACGCTGCGTATAAAAGAGCGACACCGAGAACACCAAACCTTTATCTGTAACCATCTCTGCGACGCTTTGTACCGGAGTCATCGCTGTCTGGTCATTTTATAGCAGATCTCCGGGCGGGATCGTTCTCCCCCCTCAGAGCGACACCAAAACCCCCGGAGAGAAATCCTAAAAATCCCTCCGAGTCCCCGAACTCCGAGCAACAATGGATCTTATTTGTGTATCGCTCGGCTGGAGATCCTCCAATGATCTCCGACACTGTCCTTTCTTCTGGAGGGGGGCTACGTCTTTTCCCCATGGTCCCTGTGTGTGTTGTAAAGTAGTCACCGCTCCAAGCTCCGCCCCCCGGGATGGACTACAATCCAATACAAATGAGTAAACTAAACATGAGATTATAGTCCATCCCGGAAGCGAGCTTGGAGCGGTGACTACTTTACAACACACACAGGGACCATGGGGAACAGACGTAGCCCCCTCCCAGAAGGAAGGACAGTGTCAGAGATGATTAGAGGATCTACAGCCGAGCGATACACAAATAAGATACATTGTTGCTCGGAGTTCGGGGACTCGGAGGGATTTTTAGGATTTCTCTCCGGGGTTTTGGGGTCACTTTAAACTTTTTTTAATACTACGATTTGTCTATGGATCGCATGAAAAATAAAATCCTTTCTGTAAGACTTCCGTCTCCCAAACCAAACAGGAAAAGTATTACTTTGTTACTTTGTTATCTTATGTAAAGTTTTTGCTGATTGAACAGGCCCATGGGGGGAAAAGTAACATTGTTCCTCTCCATACGGGGGTGCACAGGGAGGAGAGCTGAGCTGGTTAAAGGAGAACTATGGGGTCAGTGTTTTTCCCCATAGTTCTCCTTAGGGTAACGGGACTCCCCCCCCACTCATAGTTCTCCTTTAAGACATTGATGGGGAACACTTAGGGCCGGTGCACACCTAGGCGACACCTCACCGCGCGGCAATCGTGCACCATTCCCCGCGGATTGCCGCGCAGTCAGGAGTCGCCTAGGTGTGCACCGATCGCGCTGTTGGTGCAATTATTTTCTAAGGGCACCCCAGTCGCGCCGGGCCGATCGCACGGGTTTACCGCCCACGCCTTTGAACGCGATCGCGGCTCAAACAGCCACGCGTCGTGTGTCGCAAAAGTAGCCACCCTCCAGCCACTGCTACCTTTATTCTGCGATTGCTGTGCGGATGTCACCCCATTGAGATGAATGGGGACGCCCGTCCCTGTAGATCTGGCTGCCCCATAGACTATCATTGGGCTTCCGATCAGGGTGCGCCTTATAAACTGAGAGGTGGACGTGATCAGAATGCCCGCCTGGAAGCGGCCCAACAATGAACTTCTCTTATCAGCTCCTTTGGTCTGCTCCATATAAAATCGAATGCTTTTGTTGTATAATCTTCAATAAGTGAAAAAGAATACCTGTCCACCCTGCCCAAAATCAAGTGAGCGCCTATCCTCTCTCTCCAGTGTCACGTTCCCCTCTGTGGACCACAGAACACCAACCCCCTGTGTTATGGTGTGACAACGCTTCTCCTCCATGGATACAGTAGAGAGTGAGCGTTGTCACCCTAGGACAGGAATTGTGTTACTGGCGGGATCACCAGGTAATAATAAGGGGAAAAAGAGCATTAAGGAAAACTAATGCAGCCGCCATAACTCAAGACTGGAAGATACAATATACAACAGCTGTGTTCTTGGCTTTAGATAGCCATTACATTTCAATAAAGAATGGAAGAACGTTGGTGTCTCCCATAGCCGGGCTCCACAATCATGGAGAGTCTACTGGGAGAGGGTGACACCATCCCATGTCCATGGCAGTTGGCTGGAGATGGGAATGTTGGTGTTTCCAATAGCCAGGCTCCACAATCATGGAGAGTCTACTGGGAGAGGGTGACACCATCCCATGTCCATGGCAGTTGGCTGGAGATGGGAATGTTGGTGTTTCCAATAGCCAGGCTCCACAATCATGGAGAGTCTACTGGGAGAGGGTGACACCATCCCATGTCCATGGCAGTTGGCTGGAGATGGGAATGTTGGTGTTTCCCATAGCCAGGCTCCACAATCATGGAGAGTCTACTGGGAGAGGGTGACACCATCCCATGTCCATGGCAGTTGGCTGGAGATGGGAATGTTGGTGTTTCCCATAGCCGGACTCCACAATCATGGAGAGTCTACTGGGAGAGGGTGACACCATCCCATGTCCATGGCAGTTGGCTGGAGATGGGAATGTTGGTGTTTCCCATAGCCGGACTCCACAATCATGGAGAGTCTACTGGCAGGGGGTGACACCATCCCATGTCCATGGCAGTTGGCTGGAGATGGGAATGTTGGTGTTTCCCATAGCCGGACTCCACAATCATGGAGAGTCTACTGGGAGAGGGTGACACCATCCCATGTCCATGTCAGATGGTGGTAGATGGGAATGTTGGTGTTTCCCATAGCCGGACTCCACAATCATGGAGAGTACTGGGAGAGGGTGACACCATCCCATGTCCATGGCAGATGGTTGGAGATGGGAATGTTGGTGGGGAGACCTCACACCAGTGGATGGAGATGACCCACAACGGAACATTAGACCTTTCCGGCCAATCACACTTCAGATCAGTAAAGAAAATGGTGACTTACGCGGTGGGCAGGACCGGTCAACTTCTCTCTCCCCTTCCACCTTCGCCTTCATTCCGGCCGGTTCATCCGTCTTCTGCTGAGTCTTCTCCTCCTTCACCGCGAGGGTGGAAGGCTTCGGAGGGAGGCGCGGCTGTGTCTCCTCTACGCTTCCTCCTCCCAGGTCCTTCTGGAACAATCCGGCAATCTTCTTGACGGACACTCCTGAGGTTGCTTGTTCAGAAGGGGGTT